TGCCTGATCCATCAGCTGGCTCTTAAAATGGATGGGAGAGTTCAAGAGATGTTGTTACATCTCCTTAAACTGGTCTAGGGTTCTGGAGCATATTGATTGACAGAATAGTTTGGACAGTGATCCTAAAGCTCCTTGAAAGCACAGGATGATTTTGGTGTCCTCCTCCAAGGTGCTGACAAAAGTTCAGCCTCAGAAGGAAATTCCAACCTTATAAATCCAAACCCAGCTGGTTGCAGAAACCTTCATTAGTGTCCCTTGCCCTTCTGATGGGATTATCGTTGAAAAGGTGGCATTCCTTGGACATTGTAGATGGACTGAGGGAAATCATGGATCCACAAGTATCTGACACACTTTAGGAACTGGAGGAATGGGTTCCAACACTGGAGCTAGTGGGCAGAATTTCCCATCCCAATGCAAACCAAGGGAAAGAAATCATACAAGTTAAGAACTAAAAGGAAAACCTAAAAAGTGGTGGAGAGGGAGGGGGAAAAAAGAAAGAAAAATGCCTTTCTTTCCTCTGCTAATGTGACTCCTGCACAGCATCTGATAAGGCTACTGCTTTTGAATCTCGAGCCTCCAGCCAAATCCCCCAATCTCCCCATGTTAAGGTTGTTTTGCTCTATATCAACACAAGGACCATCAAGTGCTCCAGTTAAATGAATGTGGAGTTGACCAGTTCTTCTGACATCCTCTCCCAAGAGCACCATGAGAGCACCATGGAGGAGCAAGATGAAACCAGAATAGATATATATTTTACTTTGGAAGTAATGATTAAGCAAGTCTTATATATTAGTGGGGTAGCGTGGTGGTTATCTTGGACCTTTCTCCTATTTCTGTGGGTTTCTATTTTTCTTGCAGACTAATGTAAATTTCCCTAGAGGCATTAAAACACAACTTGCAAATATGCCCAATTTTTGTACAGATGGGTTTGGGGGCATTACATAATGTTGTCACAAAGTTAAGTAACACTGTTTTCTCATGAAAAAGAAAATGCTGTGGAGCCAGCAGGAAGAGAAGGAGAAGGGGTGGCGGTGCCCAGGGGATTCTGGGACTCACCATTGGCCTGGGCCCTGCCAGGTCCTCAAAGTTCCTCCCCTCAGTGTTGGCTCAGTGTGGGCAGCACAAATAATTCATAAACAGTTTTTACCATGAGCCAAACCTGGGGAAAAAGGACATTAATGCATGTAATACTAAACTTTTGGCATCTAGTCTGCATTTTAATTATTTCAAAATAATCCTATCATTATTTCACTACCTGGTGGACCTCTTTTGACCATATGAAGGCCCTCTTGGCCCCATATTAGTTACAGAAATCAAATCAGGCTAATTAAGCACAAAAACTGTGAACATTATTATCATGCCAAGATCCTAAACTTACCAGGTGCAAAGTGGGTGGAGGCATGATCTGTCGTTAAACAGATCCCAGTAATAAACAGCTGGATGCTTTTCAGAGAACTTTCAGCCCAAATTTCTGAGAACATATTTTATCCCATTAAATTTGCCCAAGGAGATAGCAATAGCAATAGCAGCTTCAGTTATATGCCACTTCATACTGTTGGAATATATTTAGCTCCCAAACATATCCCCTACCCCACTCCTGGCCATGAAACTCACCTGTGCCACCACCAAGCCCTAAGCTATAAGCCAGACACGATTGCCTCAATAAAGTCACTTTCTTTCGAAATGGACAAACTAATATTGCATTTTAAAATATTCAATAAAATGGTTATTTAAAAAATTAAGAGGTGGGGAACTGAAAAGTTGCAGTGTATGAAAGAACAAGAAGGGGCAACCAGAAAGAATGTTGAGGTGGTAGTTTCCTTTGACTTGCTCATATTTATTTGCAATGTTATAGGGATCCAGCAAAACAATTTGGGAACAAGGTCCCTATACAAATCCCAGCCACTGGCTTGTAAGCATAGGGGCCAGCTTGTTTGGAAGTCTTTTTTTTTCCTGTGCACCTGTGTGTTCTCTCCAAACTTCTCTTTCTCTCTCTCTCTCCCCTACCGCTGGAATGTGGGTTGTATGAGTGTGAGAGAGTGTATGTGTGTGTGTGTGTGAGAGAGAGAGAGAGGAAAAAATAATTGTGGATTGCACTCAGGGCCTTCCAGATCTACCAAGAGGCTGATTTGTTCAAATTACATCTGAAGTTATAAGCAGAAAGGAAGGCAAGACACAATTGTCTATCTTAGTAGACATATCTGCTAAGATAGGCATTGTGTCTTGCCCTCCTTTCTGCTTATAACCCCAGACTTGTTTCGAACAAATCAGCCTCTTGGTTCACAGCCTTGATTGGATATAATAGAACAGTAATGGCTAACCATTAGAGGCT